CCACTACCACTATCCCATCCAGGTCTATGGGAAGAGGAGCATGGTAGAAGAGAGAAAGGCAGCTTGGGAACCCACTGACTTTTCTTTGGAGGAGAGTTTGTAGATTCATCACATATTAGTAAAATAGGAACAAGAAAGAAAATTCTTTAAGAATCTTGTCAAGAATTATATTTCATGTTGAAGCTCAATATACCATATCATATAACTTAATTTTTATGAGCCTGTGTTTTATCCCTACTCTGCATTATTTTTTGTAATAGAGCTATTAAAAAAATCCATGGTAAATATATTTCGACCCTTTCCATCAACGGCTGCTGTGGTGAGGTAGGTCAGGAGGCATGCCTCATTGGAGGCACCCTGGAGGTTGAAGGGTAATGAGCACTTAATTATGTCTGCTGAATGCCAGAGCTGCCAAATTGGAGCTCCTCACGACTGGTCTGTATCTGCTCTGTCAATTCTTTTATTATGGCTTTTACTAACCTATAAGTAACTAACTGTGGTTGTTTAATTACAGAGGGAACATCCCCACGCTAAACAGGTACCGTATGTTTAGTTTTTTATTTACAATTAAAAGCACCTTTTTTTGTAACTTAGAATAGTGAAATATGGGGAAAATAGCACTATACTGGACAAGCTAATACATTATCTTCTGCCAGGGAGTCAGTCCTGAGCTCCCCTTTGGATGTGCTAAGTTATTCTTTCTACTTGGAAAACATGTCTTCAGCTTTTCTTCAGCTGTTCAAAAAGCAATATTTGAAAAGCTTCAGTATGGAAAAGCTCCTGTCTAGCTGTATATGATAGGGGAGTTGTCTACCTGATGTTCAGCTTTGCTGTAAACATTTTTTTTTTTTTTGCTAAGTTATGTGTCTAGTTTTGGGCTTTCAGAGGAGAACCCCTTAAGGTTACTCCTATCCTGGTAAATTGTTCCTAATTTTTTTCAGTTTTGAGTTTCTCTTATTTGCTTCTCCTTTTAGAGGGATGCAAATGCAGAAATAGCTGATCTCATGTTTTATCAGTTTGTTAGCTTTTTTTTCTAAAGTGTTATGAAAGTCAAGTTCTATTTCAGACCTATAATAAGGTTTGCATTGGAAAAGTATATTTAAGTTTTGATGTGTATATCCCCGGGAAGAGGTTTTTCTAGGCCAATGTAACACAAGTGATATTTTAGTATTTTGAGTCCCTCCTGCTTCTGAGCCAAGCAAGGCAACACAGTGCAAGTTTGAGAGGAAAGGAATTCTGATTGGAATTGAATCCACAAAATGCTAAAGCAATAATAAGTTGGTGGCGAGCTCTTTGTACATGATCAATTATACATTGAAATATTTATAGTCTTATGTTTATTTTGTTCCTCTCCCTTTAAATATTAAGTAATCAAAACTCGTTATAGCTTTTAGAGTCCAATTTGGATGGGGAGAGGAAAGGCAGTGCTTTTGTTTGGTCTTCTTGCCTAGCCTTGGAGAGTTGGCTTGGTTCATTCCTGCCTGCCTTTAGTTGTCCCGGCCCATGAACATAGTACTAGGGGAAACGGAATAGTGGATATTTCCCATGGGGTTCAGTTGACTGAAAATATACTTAACCCCATGTTTGCCACAAGCACAGCCTGTTAGCTTATATAGAGGGAATTCCCTTCAGGTGCTATCTGGAACCCTTTTATGTTTCCTGTCTAATACCAGGCAGGTAGAAAAGATATAATGCCTCACAAACTTGCTCCTTTAGTAAATATATTTGGTGATCCTAGAAAAGAGGATGATAGCATTTTGGAGTTCATACAACTCTGATCCCAGTTTCTAGTGAGCACCATGTGTAAGACTTGCTTGCTGTGTGTTTCATTTGTTTGTTTCATTCATGGTATCAATGGTTTCCTCTCCCACTCTGCCTTTCTATTTCCTAGTACTGTCAAAAGATGAAGTGCCTTCTTCATAGTCATGATTTGCCAAAAGAATAAAAATCTGGAGTGTCAGTCTCTCTGGTCTGTGTGAGCAGCACTTCCATCCTATAAAAAAATTCCATTGCTTTTTATAATTACAATTTGCAGTAGAGTACACAATATGTATCCAGATCTGAAGTCTGCATTGCTGGCTCTCTTCCCCCTGCACCGCTGCAGGTGGTGTACTTAAGGAGATTTTGGAGCAGCTCCCCAAAGTTCAGGTGCCATTACTCTGAACTTGCTTCTGATCAGTGTGCCGGTAACACATCAGGCAAGTCCTAGAGGCATCCTTCAGCTTGGTCCTTCCTAACAGTCTGCCCTGATTGACTGGGCATTTGGAAACACTTTACAGTATTACTTATCAGAACATACTGCTGAGGTGCATCAAGGAATATACTGCTTCATTATGTTTTTAGATTGAACAAATCAGTTCAGTTCTCTTTGAGCATCTCCATTTAGCACCTGTTTGTCATGCTTACACATACTGTGAGACCCATGCTCTGCCCTTTCGTATCCTGCTGGGATTTCTTAAGGGCTTTTGGTATAGAAATGTTTAACTATAAAATGGAAATTTTGCAATTTAGGGTTGAAAATGTCTCTCTTTCAAAAAGGGAGGAGCTATAATCCTTATAACTGCTATCTCTATCAGCCCATTAGAGAAAAAAGTATCTACCTCATAAGTTCCTTTTATAGGCTGTGACTTGTTTCTGTATGGTAAATAATGTTTTTTATAATGATTGACTAAACCATTCCAGATGACTTAGAGTTGTTGTTGTACATGCATATATCTATCTGTGAATACTTAATCTATTACTGTTCCTAGAGAAAAATGCCTTAAGTGTTGCCTAGTTACAACTCACTTGGCTTGCTAGGGAAGGGGAAGATGCAGGATGGTTTTTAACCCTTATGTGCTGTTTACTCATTAGACACACCATGATGTCATTGTGTTAAAACTGCCATGAAATTCCTGATAGTCCTTAGATTTTTATTTGGAAAAATTTTGGAGTGGTAAAAATATAGCATGTGTGTATAAGTGGGATTGGGGGTAGAATTAAATGAAAGGGTTAATGGGTATATAGCAAGACAGCTTTATCCATAGTGGGTAAAAACCAAATCTGCTCTGCAACCTGACCCTATTTCACAGTTTCCTCCTAGCTCCTTTTCCCTATTGTTACTCTCCCAGTCCTTGCTCCTACCCTCCTTGTCTAACTCACTTGATTGAATTACCGTTTAGAATGTCCTTCTCCTCCAACCTCAACCACTATGGCATGACTCATGTAGCTAGTGTCAGCGATGTGCTGCTGGACAACTCATTCACTCCACCATGTCAGCGGATGGGCGGAATGGTCTCTTTTCGGACTTTTGAAGATTTTGTCAGGTAAGACTGGAACTGTGCCTGTACAAGGGGAGTGATAGGCGTCTGTGTTTTGGGGTCTCAGATTTCTGCCAAATGAATAAAGATCCCCAGAAGAGCCATGAGCCAGCTAAGGAGATATAGCCCTTGCTGTATATGCCCTCAGAGAGGTATATGTCCTTCCATTTCTACCTCTCACTCAGACTGTACAAGCCTCTGGTTGTTATATGAGCCTGGTCAGAAAAAAAGAAACAAACAAAAACCATCTTTTCCTTAGGAGCTAACAGAAGAAGCTGTCTGCTCTGTGATGAGTGAAATGTCAGGAGAAATTAAACACAACACTAGAGTGAGCCCCACCAGAGACGATACATCTTTTGATTAAATGCATTCAGCATCTATCTCTTGATGTATACTGATGCATTACCCTAGGGGGAGGGGTAATTACATTGGACTGTCACTGCTCCAGTCCCAGGCTCTTTCTGTTACTTTAAGACTGATGATGACAGCAGTGCTCATATCTTACATACGAAAAAGACAAAACAAAAAAGCTTTAGATCACTCTTTTTTAGAAAGAAAAAATATATATGGTTTATTAAAGTTGAAACAATCCATCCTCCTAATTTCTGCCACTTGGTGAAATTTTGCATATCATCTCTAGCCACTGGCAATTCCATTCAGTCAACTACGAAGCACAGGCTAGGGTGGATTATTCTTTTAGACTGAGCTGGCAATGGCAGCGTTCGTTTTCTGCCACTTGGATTTTCTGCCACTTGGGATTTCATGATGGGTGTTTTTCTCTGGCATTTTTCAGGATCTTTGATGAAGTGATGGGCTGCTTCTGTGATTCCCCACCCCAAAGCCCCACATTCCCTGAGGCAGGTCACACGTCTCTATATGATGAAGACAAGGTATACTGTCCCGTTTGGGAGACTGCTTTGCTCCTTCAGATACACGACTTGTACTGCGTGCATACTATCTTTCTGATTTTGGAATGTTATAGGAAAGAATTCATCTTTTTACCCTACTTTATTTTATTTTATTTTATATGCCTCATCAAAGTATTTTTGGAAACTGGTAGGATATAAATCCTAACCTAAAAAAGAAAAACCCACACAAAAAAAGTATTAATCCTGGAATCACTACTGTGGAATAGGCTCAGCTATATCCATTGTAGCTGCCTCTGGGTCTCTGAATGTTTTTTCAAAGACTTCAGCTTTGGTTGCTTCAGTTTGTACCTAGTGATGGTTTGTGTGTTTGCGCAGTGGTGCTGTTATAGTCTTCAGGGAATGGTAGACTTTAGATAGCAGGGAAAAGACACATTTTGTTTAAAACTTTGTCCTTTTATTAAATCCCTTCTTTTCTCAGTAAACAAATTGTTATTTTTTCCCCTACCAGGTGTTTTTTTCATGGTTTGACGCTTCCACTGTGTGATAATTTGTTAGGAAATATATTATGTGGGAATATGTTCAGGTGGCTTCTTTCACTCATTTTTCTTCACCTCTGTGAAGAGATGTGGCAATTGGTTTCATTCCCATTTTATTGGTGAAAAAGTTGAGACATAGTGGTCTTCAAGTTCATGTCAAGTCAAGGTTTGGGGCCACCTCTAGCTAATACCTTTGCTGCCTTATCTTTTAAAAATTGGATGTTTTACTTTACTCTCCATTGTGGGTGTTGGGTAGTGGTTTCAATTTACTTGTTCATATTAGTGGGCAAGTCAGAATGTCCTCTGGGCATATCTCTTTTTCAGGTATTCTACCAAGTCTTCTGTGCCTCTATATTCACCAGCCTCCTAATTCCTTTGTCTTGTGTTCTTGGGTTACAGGTCCCCAGGGACGAACCCATTCACATTCTGAATGTGGCTATCAAGACTGACTCTGATACTGAGGATGACAGGCTGGCAGCGATGTTCAGGGAGTTTACCCAGCAAAACGTAAGCCCTCATCTGGGTGGAAACTGGTGACTGCTCCTTTCCTGCTGGCTTGGTATCATACCCATCTTTTTATCAGTCGCTATTTGTAAGGCGTATCACTGATGATGGCTGTGTCCTTCACATACTTCTGCCTGTAGGGGTAAAATTCCTAAGTGACTTAATAGTCACTTAATATAATGAATATCTTTTCATGTCAAGAAATATAGACCTCAAATATTTGAAATGTTTTAAGGAAGGGAAGTGTTGTCCTAAATCTTTCTCAGAGCTCCAGTCTTGAACTTTCAGTCACCTACTGAATATTTTCCTTTGGTGGTTTACTTCCACATGCTGAAATAATCTGAAATTTTCTTCCCAGATTTTGCGGCACTAAGTGCCCTTGTTTGATTGTTTTTACCTCAACTGTAGGCTTTTTATTACCCTCAGATCTTAGTGCTATATGCCATCATATGTTGATTTAAAGAAGCAGTTTCTTCATCTTCACGACATAAATTTATAACATTAATTGGCAATAAGAAATTACCTTTTTCCTTTACTGAACTTGTAAACTGAGGCACAGAGAAATTGATTATCTTTGCCTGTGGCTGTTCAGAAGGGTAAGGGTAGACTGTGCCAACGTTCTAAGTCTAGAGAAGCTGTTCACTGCATCTGGTACTGTGCCTATCCAGAAATATTTGGAATTTTCACCTTGTTTTGAAAAGAATGTAAAAATAAAAAGAAGGGAAAGCAATTAAAAAAAAAGTTGAAATGATAACTTCATGATCATGTTCCTAGCAGTTTAGAAAAAGTTTCCTTTTTTAAAAGCACACATTAAACTATCAAATAGGTTGATCCAAATTGTCCATATAATCTTCTAGTCCCAGCATGTCTTTTTTTCTCTCATAGAAATTAGGATCATATATTTGTAAATGACTTGTGGAGGAGATTGAAGCAGTCAGTGTAAATGGAGTTTCTCCAGGTGCTGACGCCTAATCGCTGGGTAATAGCTGTGGACTTGCTGTGAGACCCGCATTATTACAATGTAATCAGAATCCTGTTGCTCTGCTGTTATTGTCAGCCACTTGTGGAATTTTAAAAGCAATAACAATTTTGACTTTAAATCATGGCATTATTAAAGTTATTTTCTTCCCTTGCCTGAACATAGCATAGCTATTGATGCTTGTCTTTGAAGGACTTGGCTGTGGTGGAATTCTTTGTTGGTGGTATCAGAAGAAATGCTTTTGTTCCTTGGCATACTGAGAGATTGAGAA